AGATCACGATGCCGTACCCTGTACACGAATCGTTTGAACAGTTCCTCCTTTGCCACCTGGATAAATCACCTGTTGTCCATCGAGTGTTGTTACAAACAAATACACCACAAAATTTCATTACATAAAAGCTCTACATAAATAATATGCTACGAAAAAAGGAAAACCCTACATCACTACAGAAAAAGTGTACGCTCTATAAGTGGTAACTGATTCTACGAAACATTGGGAAACCACAACTTTTATTGAGAGCGCAGACCAGCACACATGGTAGACCGTTTATGCTTTGCCGGCAATGTAGGTGATAAGATCGACGACACGGTGCGAATATCCGTACTCGTTGTCATACCTGGAAAAGCGAGATGGAAAAAGAGAAATGGTTGATTTCACCCATGGGCGGCTCATACCCAGGAATATAGGTAAAGTGCCAAGATGGAGCTTGAAAACTAACCATGAAATGAGCTTGACGAAATGTGGGTTAAGAGAGATGCATGCTCCGGCGTCGAAGATCGAGGAGTGAGTGTCGGACAAGAAGTCAGTTGACACTACTTGGTCCTCAGTGTAGCCCAAAATGCCCTTCATTCCACCTTCCGCAGCAGATTTGATTACCTAAACGAACACATAAGTGCGACTTCCGACAGTCTTTCATCTCATTCCAAAAGATAGATTTCTTACCTTCTTAATGTCATCCATGCTGGCTGGCTTCTCAAGACGACAAGTGAGATCGACAACAGACACATCAGGCGTTGGCACACGGAAGGCCATTCCGGTAAGCTTGCCATTCAGTGCGGGAATAACCTTACCGACAGCTTTAGCAGCGCCAGTAGAGGCTGGAATGATATTCTGAGCAGCACCACGTCCATCACGCCACAACTTTCCAGACGGTCCGTCGACAGTCTTCTGTGTAGCTGTGGTTGCATGCACAGTGGTCATTAATCCTTCGATGATTCCAAAGTTATCATGGATGACTTTAGCCAAAGGAGCCAGACAGTTGGTGGTACATGACGCGTTACTGAAAGCAGAGATATTTTAAACACAAAGTGGCCAGTTCAGCATGCTGACGAAGGGTAGATCCTTTCCATATGTAAGGCGGAAAGGTTTGTCGCTGCAGAAATCCAGCACTGCTATTCAAAACTGCGGCTGTAGTTCGGCTAAGTGTGGCGTGCGTGTGGCGTATCTGTGGCGTGCGTGTGGCGTATCTGTGGCGTGCGTGTGGCGTATCTGTGGTGTGCGTGTGGCGTATCTGTGGTGTGCGTGTGGCGTATCTGGGTGTGCGTGTGCGGCAATCTGTGAATGGGCGTGTGGCGCATCTGTGGTGGGCCGTGAGGCGCATCTGTGTGGGTGGGCGAGTGCGTATCTGTGGTGGGCGAGTGGCGTGTCTGTGGCTGGCGAGTGGCGTATCTGTGGTATGCATGTGGTGTACCTGTGGTGGGCGTGTGGTGTATCTGTGGTGGGCGTGTGGTGTATCTGAGGTGTGGCGTGTGGCGTGTCTGTGGTGTGCGCGTTGCGTATCAAACGGTAGACGGGAGGAAGAAATAGCTACGTTAGCTAGTTATCGGAATATATTAAAAACGTCGTCCAACTCAGAAGTGAAACGGGCAGTTACGCTAGAGGCGCTGATATTACCTTAGGTTTCCTGGCAAGTCGGCTCGATGCCCCACGCACGCCATACCCACCGCCCACAGGACGCAGAAGTGTGCGCCTTATGGTTTGGGCGTGTAGTTGGACCGTGTGGCGTATCCGTGGTGCACGTGATGCGCGTCAACTGGTGGGCGGAGCCGTTAAAAACTCCTAGCTGTCAAGCCTCCAGCTTCAACATGGCGCACTTTTGAGGGGTGAAGGGTGCTAGAATTCTTACAAGACTGATGGAGGGCTCAGTTACATCGCATGATCGAAAGGATCGGAACGCCTAGCATGGCCGTCGGCGACCAGTATATAACGTGGTCCGCCAGCGTTTCAAACGCTGAGGTCCAATGTGACGGTTGTTGGCAGCGTTGTAGGTCTCATTGTTTACACCCATAACAAACATTGGAGCGTCAGCTGATGGTGCAGAGATGACCACCTAAACAGTCTCCTTTAGCCTTGTGAAAAAACAATTATTCAACCGATCTGGACTCTCAAAAATTCGTACCTTCTTGGCGCCACCCTTCAAGTGAGCTGATGCCTTATCGACGGTGGTGAAAACACCAGTTGATTCAACGATGTATTCAGCTCCATCAGCTCCCCATGGGATTTCGGCGGGGTCCTTGCTGAAAGTACAACCTTTAAACACAGTTATCAGTCAAACACCGTTTTCAGGCTCATAATATTCCTATGGAAAACAGGTAACCCGCAAGTAAACTACCATTCCTGCTGAAAAACGCCACTTATTCAAACGGAACCCCACAACCGGATCTACCCAACATCCACATCCCTCCCTACACCACTAAACCAACTCTGTCAGTTGACCTCTGGCTTCGAACAGTTGCCCGCCGCAGCGAAACAGGTTTCCCGTCCCTCAACTAGTGTGTACACCGATGAGCACAGCCAATCAATGGCCTTTTTTCATAACGATTAGAAAGGATTATTAGCTCGCTCGCATATGTAATGATGTGCACGTTCTCAAATTTAGATTCAAAATCAATACACCTTATCACAAAACATCAGCAAAACCCTGAGCGTCCATAAACTTGATAAAAGAATGCAACCAGATCGATACTTTTTTCCCGTTCAGAGAAAGGTCGCTCAGGTAGAAGACCAGCGCTGAGCATAGATCGATTTGAAAGGGAAGACTATCCCCAATCTCCCTCTAAACGAAAGTTGCACTCGACAAAATGTCAGGAAACGCTATTCTAACTCAAGAGCATTCTATCGGGACGGCAAAGTACTCAGTTTTTTGTCACTTTACACTTATCCCCTGTCAGCGATGTACATTTACCCTCACGAATTTGTGGCTCTTGTTCTTGGGATTTCCCCCGCCAAGCCAGTAACTCCTCGTCAACTTCC